ATTAATTCTAATATGCATGAAAAATACCTTTGGTGGTTGAAATGGAATTAAGGTGGTAAACCCATATCCTGATCCCATCCTAGAAACATCTCTCCAGTATAATTTTAAGATAAGATTACACACAGGTATATTGCATTTTTATCAAAGTCATGCCCAAACAAAGGTGGTGCAACAAACAGAATTGGCACCCTAGTCAAATCCTGTGGGAGCAGGAAAGGGATGCCATTCTGAGTGGGAGAGGGAGGGCGGCCAATTCTCAGGGCAAGTGGCACAGGGGTGCACAGGTTCCAAGAACAGGGACCAGGGAGCACAATAGTTTGACCCATGCCAAGAACTCATAAGCAATCCCAGGCTGTACTGCTGCTACTGCAGTTGCATGCTCTGCCTGACCCAGCTGTTATTCTTAAAGCAGCAGCAGGAGCCACCGCAGTGGGCTGCTTTGACTTCCCAGCATGGGTATGCTGCTGAGGTGTAGATTCTGTAGGGGTGGAGGAGGATTTGGCACCCCTCCTAACTTAGCACCTGGGGTGGATCCAGCTGTTACCCACCACCCTTAGTTACATTACTGCCAACCAGTCACTTTCCTAAGGATAAATCAATATTTGTTTAATGGGGGGAGGAAGAGGGAGGCAACATCAACTCAGCAGACATCCAATTACATCATAGCTCCCCAAAAATAGTAATATTCTTACACTGTAAAAATGTTGGAAAGAAAAGTTTAGGGAGGACAGTGCTCACAGGATAGCACAGACACACAAGCATGCTTTGTCATTTGATGTGGTCAAATTGCTGTCTCCTGCATAAGTAATACATAGCGGAGTGCTTAAAAGTGCAGGCCAATGTAAGTTACTTCCTTTTTCATTTTTATCTGAAGTTCATGTACTCCAGAAACTCTAGCTCTTCATGAAAACATACTGGAAAGCTTTGAAATATATTGCATCAGCACTCCCTCTAGAGACCATTTTGAGTAATTTTTGTGCACTGTAAAATCTCATCTATTAGACTTCTTATACTGTTAACAAACCCAATGACAATAAGGTGTACACATCGATTAAAACTGTGTCCAATGATTCACAGAAATGTTCATATTGTCATGTTTTCATATTTTTCAGACTTGAATTTTCTGAACAGTTTAAAGCGTTTTGTAATAAAAAGGTTAACAGCATGGTAAAAGGTTAAATAATGACTCACCAAAGAGCGGATTTTAAAGCAAAGTGAATTTGAGATATATCATAGCAATTTTCAAACCAATGAACAACTGAACCAAAAAGATATCTGTTTAAATTCTGCCCATCCTGGGATCAGTCTGCCACCATCACATGCCTTCAGTTTACTCCATAGCTTTCAACTATGTTTCCACAGATTTCAAAGGATTTTTTCCCCTCCTCCTCCTTCCTGGAATGTGTGTACTAAATTCAGAAAAAAACAAACCCCTTTCTCTTTATTGGTGCTTCTAGGAACAGCCTCAACACTATAATTGCTAACTGCATTTACATTTAAATTGGCATGTTGCATTCTAATTACAAATCATTTTAAGGCCTCTGCTTTTTTTCAGTTATAATTAAACTGAAACGCATACAGTTTGTGAAAATTGTATTAATTAACATTTTGGCCAATTTTCTTATAATTTTATACGGTAATTTTAAAACCTTGATTTAAATTTCTGTTAAGACCGACAATTAACTGTTTGTAGAATAGACTATTCTATTCTTAAATGATAAAACATTTGGACTTCTCCAGCCATAACGAAAATGAGTTTTAGATGCAGTTTACTTTGAGAGCAGAAGGACTTTAACTGGTCATACTTTGAATTGCTCTTTGTTCCATCTAGCAGTCCATACCAAATAGTAAATACAAATTATTCTTAGCTATTTTGTAATCTCTTGCAGTCCAAACTCCTGGAAATAAACTATATACATTTGCAGAACATAAAAATATCACAACTTTTGCAACTATGTGAAAAAGAAACATGACCAGAAATTTAATATGATCACAAAAAGAGACTGCATTGAGAGTAGAAAAGTAAAAAGGAGCCAGATCTTAACGTGAACAGAATGTGAAAACATGAGCTAAATCAGGTTTCCATATCAAAAATCAATTTCTCAATGATCCATTCTTGTGCAACCAGAAGTCAAAACATTCACTTTTCCAAGTAAAAATATTTACTGGTAATGTCCATAAACCAGGAGAAAAACAAGAGGGTTCTTTTCAGTGCAGTCCTTCCCTCCCATTTTATGACAAAGTGCAGTGATTAAGTTGTTGGCTTTAAAACACAGATGAGTTAAATTAAAAGAATTATAACAGGTTCCAGTGCCAAATCCTGAAATATACAGTATGTTTTATTTAGCCACCCACAGTTTATTTAAAAAGGAAAACGGGAACTTCTGCATATCTGACTTTCACTGAGTCAGTGAAGGTCAGGCTTTTCCAGTGCAGAACAATACCACGATTTGAAGATACTATAGTATTCAACTGAAACACCCTCATATGCCATAATTTACAAGGACACAAATGTTTCCTTTAATTGGGAAGCTACTCTGGAAGGATTATAAAAAAAAAACAAACAAACCAAAACCCAGAAAACCAGGTCAATAGGAGAGATCTGCTTGTGACTGTATTTTCTCATGAAAGACATTAACTGTGACCATAGTCAGGATAGTCAAATGCTTTTTCTTCAGTGCAAAAGGCCTGGCACCCAGAATAGATGCCTTGGATATTTATGATATTCATGAATAACACCAGTCTTTCCTTCTTTAGTTTTCTTTACACAAATAAGTACATTTAAAATAAAATACAGATTAAAAGATTCCACAAATCCCAGCCTGCGGAAGAGAATAATTACAGTGCTTCAGTTCAATACACAGAATAGAGAGAGGTAATTATTGTTTATATTTGTGATGTAGATAAGCAAGTCAAAATAACACAAATCCCCACTGTTTCTATCCGTGTGTAGCAACTCAACAAGAAATTCCTATCCAATTAATGGAAAAGAGAAAAGGCTAAGAAAATGTCAGCAACATCCAGACATTTTAATACTCTACTTTGCCTAATAAGGTAAACATGAGAACACTCATACAATGGCATCAAAAGCAAGAATTCCTCTAAAAATGCAACGACCTGCAACATAAATGCATGTAGCATCTGCAACATGCTGCACAGAGATAGAATCTCCATTAAATCTATTGCCATACTGCAAGCTTAGGACATGCACAAAATTGAGATGCATTTGATCTTGAAATGTAGACACAGACCATGCGCTGTATTTAGTCTGCATACTGAGATTAAAGGGCAGTACCTGACCAGTTACAAAAGCACAAAAACAGCAGGATTAACATTAAGACCAAATTCTTCCCCAGGTATGGGACACAGATGATGCCTTGTTATAAGCAAGGATCCTAGGTCTTCTGCGATTAAAAAAACCCCCGAAACAAAAATCTGTGTTTTTCCATAGCGAGCTCCCCCCCTCAATGCTGATCATCTGAGGGGTCCTGGTGGCGGCCCTGCCCCTCACCACTTATTGGCCAAGAGGGCTATCCTTTAGGTGCCCTTGCCCCTCGGCATGAATCAGCAGAGAGAGGTGGGGCCACATGGCAGGCAGCCCTCTCAGCCAATCAGCAGCAAAGGGAGGAGTGGGCTTCCTTGCATGCCGACAGCTTCTCCCCCTAGTGGGCTACTGCAGTGGCTGAAGGAAGCACTGAAGGTGGCTCTCCCACTGGGGAGCCAGCATTTTATTTTCAGTAAGTTTTTTTCCCCCGGCCATTCTGAAGAGTCTCTGTAAGAATGCAAATTCCACGTTTTTCACGGCAAATTGATTTCTAGGATCCCTGGTTATAAAGTACAGGCATTTTATGGGTTAACAAGGAAGACAGCTGAGAAAGAAGCAGATGAAATATCCCTAAAGAGCAAATTACTAATAGTCTGTTTATGGAAGACAGATTCAGATGCCAAATGAACTCACTGAGGACTGTAACTCAACATATGCAGTATGACAGGAAAATCTGAATCTTATTCTGCTTTGCCTCATCATTTTTCCTTCCCTTTTCCTGCTAATCCCATATTTTCCACCCCTGCTCTCACAGCCACATTTAATTAACATACATTAACTTTTGGCAAGACTTGCATCTGCCCCCCACTCCTAAATCCATTTAGCAAGGTAGATGCTTGTAAGCCTTACAATAACATTTTAGTATCAGATACAGCAGTGACAGGGCCAACACCACAACAGACATTTCTCTAGGGACCTTTGTTCAGCCACTATCTGTCCCACTTCTAACTCTGCTCTGTGAACTGCCCTTTCATAAGAACCTTATTTCCCAGCATGCTTTTCTGGGGCTTGCCTTCAAGTATGCTAGAACCAGAACTCTACAGCCCCCATACAATTGTTTTGGGACAGATAATGGCTGGTTGCATCACTTCTATTTCTAGCTACCAAATCCATGTTGGGAAACTATCTTTAGATGCATGTGGGCAGTTCATATTTACTTCAGTGGAATTATGTAACCATCCAAGGACAAATCTGAATCTTGACATGATGCTGAACATAGCTTGCAGAAAAATGTACCATATCCAATTAAGTGCTAATAGTAAAGAAATTACTGTTCCTTTAAACTGTTCTGTATGTTTGTCAGTGCCTAATACAGAATATGACTATTTCACAGAGTTGCATATAAAATTAGCGGGTTTACAGACATTATGAATGTTGAAAAATACAGCTACTCAAGACAAATCAAATATAGTTGTGCAGCAAATTATGTAAATATGCATCATCAGCAGAGTCAGAAGATACACAGCCTAAGGCAGAGTCCTACATTTCCAAACACCAATGATGTTCAGAGCCAGATCTTAACTTCGCACCAAGAGTTCAACTCCAAGATATGCATTCACTAACACTTTTAGAAGGCTACTATGGTACCATTATAGGAAAAACACAATTCATATTAGTTAGCACAGTTTATACGAAATCCTGATCATTGCCTATAACAAGAAAAAGTACAGCACACTGCAAAGTTTATGGCACTGTTTATTTTAATTCAAAATATATTATACATTTTACATATTGTTTACACTTCCTATGAAATTTAAATGCTGGACATACTGCTGGGAGAAATGAAAACTTGGAGGAGAAAGAGCAGAAGGAAAATAATCAGACATTCCTAGCAAAAAAATTATGGCTGTGCCATCCTGATTATTTTTAAACTTTATGTAAACCAGAATCTCAGGTGTTTCCATAATCGTGTAAGTCTCATACACACCAGTGAGAGAAAGAGGAGGAGAAAGATGAAAAATACAGATGTAGCACTCTGCACACTTAGCGACCCAGAGCTTCTCTGTTATCTTGAAGATGGACTACTAGACCCAGAAGGTGGACAACAGAACTGGTGGAGAACATTATCTTCCCTGCCAAGAAGGGCAAAAAAGGAGGGGAAAGAGAGAAAGATAGAGGAACAGAATCATAGGGAACAATATTAGGAGAATTAAGTGACAGTATTTAACAGTAGTGTAGCCCATTTGTAAGCAACTGTTGATACCTCTGTTCACCCTCCCCTACCCCTTCCACCCACAAAATCTCTGAAACTAAGTACATGGTTGCAAGTGCTGGGCCTCATTTCAAGAAATGTTATACAATGCAAATAAAAAAGATAATGCAATCAAAGACTGACCCATGTTAAGGTTCAGGGTTACTATATCTGAGATGAAAAGTCATACCTAGGTATTTTTTAGAAGGAAAATGTCTACTTTTAACCATGAGAATATTCTGTAACTATAAGCATTAACCTGGGAAGTCTTGCTTTTGATTACATCTTCTCTCTTAGGAAAAAATACTTCAGCTCTTAAGAGTTTATGATTCAAACCATTGCTCAGTTCAAACCAAACATACTTTATTCATACAGTCCTCAGGTTAAATAAATCAAAGACCATGAGGGCTTCCATTATACATTTCCCTAAAAATAAAGGACTAGATGCATGATTTTGACAGTGACTTACATGTAGTAATATTGCTTACAGATACAGCTGCACTGTCTTTTCTTTAAAGCTAGACTGAACTCTGTCTCCAGAGTTGCCAGCATCATGAATAGTCCTGCAGACCAGAGGATATATATATAATTATTATATTGAAAAGCAATTTGGAATACCTACATCTGTAATGCTATATTGTACTCTATGGTGGGAGGAAGTAGAGGAAGGGATGTCGGCTTAGCAGGAAGCTTGCACGATGTCACTTCTTTACCAGTAACACCACCACCAGTGGCCATTTCCTTTAACTAAATAGCACGCTAAAGAAGAAGGATGGAAAGGAATAAAATGAAGGAAGGAAAAACAATAGAATCTAAGACAAATAGTAGCTCTCGTGATATTCTACCATTTTGCTTGTAAAAGGTTACATTACAGTTTTTCCATCTCTAGGATCCTGCAGATGTCGAGAAGAAAAACTGCAAGTATCATGTTATTTTAACTTCCTCTGTGAGTTAATATGAATTGAGACTGTATTATGGTACTTATGAAAATCTACTGCCTTTGAAAACTCTTATGACAGAGTATGCAGTTTGGCTGACTCTTTGGTTCTGTTTGAAATTGCCATATTCATCTTGAAAGCCATGAAAAACATGAAAATCTATTCTAGTTCATGAGAGCCGCATCATTTTTTGTCATTTTGGAAAAATATGGTCAGGTATTTAAAATGAACATTTAAAAATGAGAGCTAACAAGTCAGTTCCTGTTTAGTTGGACTTCAAATACCTCCCAACAACTGCTGCTGTTCTGTGAAATGTCAGTAGATTATCATAGTCATTCAACAAACTCTCAGACACTTAAGTCATCTGATTACAGCTGTACCTTTGGCTAGAAAACGACCAAAGGGTCTTTCACTAGTATGCCACAGAGTTGGGAGGGGGTAGAGGGTGGTCTCCAAAAGACAGGACACTAGGACCTAAAAATGTTTTTATGAAATGTATAAGAAGAATTTTTTGAATGTTAACCAAACCTAGGACACACCACTTTTCTGTAGAATAAAGTAAATGACCCTAGGGCTGGAAAAGTCATTTTCACCTGCAAAAATGAGCATTCTTCACCTTTAAAACCCTAAGAAACACAGATTTTCCTTGATTATGCCAACTTTCATAAGGCTGTTGGTAAAACTCATGGGTAGAGAGAAACCTTCTGTCTACACAGACAGAGCAAATGGACTGCCATTTGATTTACTACTAAATGGTGAATCTCCACGTTAACCAGATACTTGGCTAAATCAGTTACCACTGACACAGGGAAACAGGATGAACAGAATCAATCCTGCTATTTTTGATATAGTACTACACTGTTTTTTATACAGTGTTTTTAAAGCCATTAGTCAACATCGGTTGTTAAAAAGTAAAGGTTCTACATTAAATTTCAAAATAAATACAGTATTTTCAGAATAATATTTTTACCTCATAGAGGTGTTGCTTAAACATTATGCAAGTAGACTGCAAGAAAATGATGGGGTTTCTTTGGTACTATAACATCCTTTGCAATATCTTTTTGTTTTCACAGGCATCACTGGGAAAAAAAAGAAAAAAGAAAAATCTCCAGTTTCAAGATTTCAGAAATGATCTTTGGACATGACAAAGGTGTCTGATTTGAACATGCCAATGATGAAAGCTGATGTGGGTGGATGGGTAGGTGGAAAGGAGCAGTGGGTGGGAACTGTCATTTCATGTACAATAAAACAAGTCAGTCATACACATATGAAGAAACACTCAAGAGCAAAATGGAATTTAGTCTTGCAAATAGTTACTGTTTAAATGTCTCCAAATATGATCAATAACCAAATCTATCCCCTAGTTTTAGTGATGGCTACATGATATATATATATATA